AAATGCAGTATGTTATGTTCATATTTTAAACCAAAGAAATGCTCTCATAGTGAAGCATTATAGATTATTTGAATATGAATATTTAGACGAATGTTTAATTAAAGACTTCAAAAATGACACATACAATCAATGAGAATAGTCCTGATTGTATAACTGTTTTATATTATGTATAACATTTGTGGAATGCTATGAGGTTATTGTAGACTATTGTATTTAGATGATATTATTTTTTTAGATGATATTTTTTGTAAATACATGAGTATTTATAGCAAACATTATTAATACAGATTTTTTTTTCCTTTTTTTTAGGGGGGGGGGAGACAAACAACTGTATTTTCAAACTAAATAATAATTATTTTTTCACAATTGTTTATACATGTAGGTAAATGTAATATATCATGAGAGATGTAAATCAGCAGGGGTATTGAATTTAATTTAGATTTCAGTATATTTGACGTTGAACATGGAACTCCTATTGAGATTTTATACTTTTCTCTTAACATTTCATATTTTTATGTCATATTCTGTTGTGAGTTTTTCTTTCTGTCTTTTCTATTTTGACTTGTACTTGGCTTCCAAAACTGCGTCAGTTTTGGGTGCTAAATACTTAATGATTCCTAATCTCTGAGTTACAATGCTTTTTTATCGCCAAATTCATTCTACACCTGTAGAATACAGTGTCCTAGCTCAGAAAATGGAACTGTCATCCTTTGTGACATTTTGCTGTTTTTATTCAGATGGTTTGGATATTTATTTACTTTTAGGGAACCTAGAATCTCTACCATTTGAAGTCAAATCCAGACATTCTGCATATTAAGTATACAGTACACGCTGATTCTGGTAGTTCCAGTGAGTATTGAGTATTTTTATGTAATTATTCTGAATAAGTATGAATTCCTTATGTGGATGACATGCATTTTGTGTAAGTTTGTATGATTTTAAAAAGTTAAAGTAATCTCAGGATTTTTAGTTTTCCTTTTATCTAATAATCAGAGAATACTGTGGTGTGAATAGTAGTATAATTTTTAATTAAAATCAGTAATGAGTACTTGTAGGTTTCTTCATCAGTACTTTTGTTATGATAGGGAAAAAATGCCCATAGTGAGTGCCTTTAAGAGAAACAGTTTGAATGTAGACAAACATCATGGTGAAAAAAGTGCCTAACCTTGGAACCCATGAATCATTAATGTAGTGAAAAGATAGAAAATTTTCTCTAGTCTATATGCTTATGCCAAGTTCATAAACAGGAGTTTACAGGAAACATGCCTGCATTGTCATCAATTCATTGTAAAGAAAATTTTACATCCTTTAGTGAGTATGTAATACATACTGATATTCCCCCAGGTGCAAGCCTGCCTCTGACTTATGATGATGATAATTGAGTATTCAGTAGCCTTTTAGATTCATGCAAGGCTACCCTCTTATATCATGCAAAGAGTATCCTAAGTGGTTCATCTTGTGATTTATTTTTTTCTGAGATAATTATCCCTGGAACATCTTAGAGTTGAGAAGCTTTTACTTGGCTGATAGCACCAATACTTCCAATTTTTTAAATCTAACATACCATAAGAGCTAATTATTTTTGTAACATTTTGATATCTAGGTCTTATTTTTCTATTTGTAGTTGCAGTACTTTGATCAAACTTTGGAGCAGTAACAGCCAGAGCAATAAGTAAGCAACTGTTGTGCAGGACTGCTTTTATGGTAGTAAAGTATGATGTATATGGCTCCCAGAATTTGTACTAAAATAATTTAAGTTGTGTCCATGCAAAGGAACTGTTGACTAAACCTGCATCTCATTTTGTAAGCAGAGGGAGCAGTTCCTATGCAGCGAACTCTGGCCATTGTGAGGCACACTTGTTTAGTATCTATTTGGCACAGATGCAGACATTTTGATGATTTACCTGTCATTTTCTGCTTGTAAAGTCATCTCTGGACATGCCTGCCACCCACCTTCCAAATTTGTAAATTGGAATACAATTAGTGTGTTTCCAGCCTTGGGACTTTGGACTGTCAGTGACAGTGGATAAGCCAAATAATTTGTATGAGGACTGTGATGTTTATATAATGAAATCTTGCTTTTCTTGCTATAGTGTAATTAGAGTATTATCAACATGATCTGTCTCTTAACCCAATGGTGCCGGAAAAAAGCTGTGCTCGTTGTAGACCTTGTGAGCTTACTAGATTTCATCTTTCCTTTAATTTGCAGGAAAAACTTACTAGCTTACTTTTTTTATTACTAATACTATCACTATGGTGTTATTTTTATTATAAACATTATAATAACTATAATGTTATTGACAACATCGTCATCATTATTTTTAGTATCATTAGTATTATCATCGTCATTAGTATTAATATTATTATTATTATTATTATTATTATTGTTATTATTGTTATTATTGATACCATTACTATTGTTATTATTATTATTATTATTATTATTATTATTGTTATTTGTAATAGTAGTGTTATTATTATTATTATTATTATTATTATTATTTTTTTTTTTTTTAGTTTTATTATTATTATCATTATCATTATTATTATTATTATTATTATTATTATTATTATTATTATTATTATTGTTATCATTATTGTTATTAATATTATTATTGTTATTGTTATCATCATTTTTTTTTAATCATTGTTGTCATTATTATTATTATTTTTTTCCATTATTGTTATTTTTATTATTGTTAATGTCAATACACTTATTATGATTGTTGATATAATGATGGTGAAATTAGTATTATCAGTAACAATGATAATGGTATTGATGATATGTAATGATAACAATATAATAGTAATTGTAATAGGAATATAAACATTTTTGTGGATTATTTAAGAGTTGGCTGAACCAAGGAGGTCAGGCTGGTCAAGTAGTTGACTCCTTGGTGTCTATGATCTGAGAGCCTTTTATGTATAAAGAAAAAATAACAAAACAGATTCACAGTAGACATTGCATGTTCTAGGCATCATTGGGTTTAAAGATTCTTTTGATAATAAGATGTGCTTATTGATACATGAAAAGGAAAATATCAGTTATGTCATTTAACCCATTGCTGCCGGGGAAAATTAATAAAAAGTGGGGAAAATGCTGTACTCATTTTTTATATTTTTGTGAAATATCTCTGTCCATAGATGGCTCTGCTAGTCCTGATTTCACTTTTCCTTAAATTGGCGGGAAAATACATATTCTTATTAGTGCTATAAATATAGATGGTGTTATTTTTAACAGCAAATTAGGATAACATTAAATATTTTCGTAAATCGATGAAAAGGGTGAACAGGCAAGACAGGCAGTACTCGTAATTGGCTCACTGGTGACTTAGTACAAGTGTAGCCATCTGTGTGTAAAAACAATCAAAGAAGTCACCTCAAAGTGGGCATGGCATGTACGTACATGCCATCCCCGGCGGCAATAGGTTAAAGAGGACATTTAGAATAGCTCTTTAGCCAAGGCAGCTAGCAGTCAAGAAAGGTCTCTCAGAAATGAGAGGATTACATCATTATGCTGAAGTATTTATGAATCTATATACATACTATCATATTAGTATTCAGTACTACTTGAAATAAGGGTCCTTTGCTTTGAATTAATAATTTTAGCAAAACTAGTATTTCAGAAGTCAGTCAAGTAATAGAATTAAACTTGTGCATTTTAGTATACAGATTATTGTTTGAACTCGAGTACTAACAGGGCTTGGCTGGAATATGTCTGTCATAATTACATAGCTGATTTTCTTAAAGTTTCTCATCAGAAGACCAAATAGTCATCCAAGAATTTCTCACTAGATTGGCTCCATTTGCTATGTGTATAAGGTAATTTAGATGTGTAAAGTTCATATGTATATGTTGAGTTATTTCATTCCTCATTACTGAGCTTAAATGTCATGATATATAATAACTTAATAGGAATTAGATATGATTATGTGTTATTTTGGTGATATATCAAAGGTTTACAGTATTTCCTAATTTGATAGAACTTAGTATCTGATGCAGCTGGCCTGTAATGTTGGAAGTCCAGTTTTAATCTACATCAGTTCCAGGAAAGCATAAAGATGTCTGAAATAAAGAAACTGTATGTCTGCTGTACATATTGACCCAAGACATGGAGAGCCATTATTTCTTGGAGATGGAGTAGTTTAAGAGTATTTATCTATCTATCTATCTATCTATCTATCTATCTATCTATCCATACACACACACACACACACACACACACACACACACACACACACACACACACACACACACACACACACACACACACACACACACACACACACACACACACACACGCATACACATATACACACACATATACACACACACAAACACATACACGCACACATGCACACACGCACACGCACACACACGCACATATACACGCACACATATACACGCACACATATACACGCACACATATACACGCACACATATACACGCACACACACACACGCACACACACACGCACACACACACACACGCACACACGCACACACACACACGCACACACACACACGCACACACACACACGCACACACACACACGCACACACACACACACACACACACACACACACACACACACACACACACACACACACACACACACACACACACACACACACACACACACACAGACACACATACACACACACGCACGCACGCACGCACGCACGCACGCACGCACGCACGCATGCACGCACGCACAAGCACACGCACAAGCACACGCACAAACACACGCACACACACGCGCGCACACACACACACACACACACACACACACACACACACACACACACACACACACACACACACACACACACACACACACACACACACACATATATACACACACACACATATACACACACACACATATACACACACATATACACACACATATACACACACACAAACACATACACACACACACACATATACACGCACACGCACACACACACGCACACATGCACACACGCACACATGCACACACGCACAAGCACACACACAGTCATATACACGCACACACGCACATATACACGCACACATATACACTCATACACCCACACACCCACACACCCACACACCCACACACATACACACATACACACATACACACATGCACACATACACACATACACACATACACACATACACACATACACACATACACACACACACACACACACACACACACACACACACACACACACACACACACACACACACACACACACACACACACACACACATATACACACACATACACACACATGCACACATACATATATATTTATATCTTTATGCACAGTAAGGAAACTAAACAGTAGTTGTGTATCTTGTTTTAAATTTTTATAATACTGGGAACATTCAAATTTTCTCAAGCTTTTTCTTATATTTAGGTGTGTATGTCTTGCATCATTGTTGCATCATGTGGAAGTGTATAAAATATTTTTAAAACCAGGAACCTTGAATATGGTGTATCTTAACATTGCAAGGATGTACATGATTATACTATGTATAGCCAGCATATATTATTCACAGATTCCTGGTTATAATAATTTTACAGTGATGTTTAGTTCCAGTAATTTCCCATCTTTATCATTTATGTCAAGTTCTTGCCATTTTGTGCCATGTCTTGCAACACAGTCTTAACTCTAACCTCAGCAGTTGATAATTTCTAAATAATAAGTACAAAGTTTTTATGAATATGAGAACCTCATGAAATACTGTTTTTAAATTCTTGAACATCTCTTTTTTTGTTTTTTCACTTTCTGTTAACAGAAAATTGTTAATGTGTGATGGCTACCAGATGCACCTTTGCAGTCTGTTATAAAGATTTTTTTTAATAGCTCTATTTCTAATCAAAAACTGTAATGACTACGAGCATTTTTCTCACCATCAGGGCATCATCTAACATTTCAGTCTATATTTGTCTTTAGACCCAGAAAATGTCAGGTTTAATCATCTGTATCTACTACTTTTTATTGGAAAAATAAATCAATACATTCAACAATTGTATAATTAGATTGATAGATTTCCAGGATTCACAATAAAATTAACCCAATGCCGACAGGCATGGGATGTATGTATATGCCATGGCCACTGTGACTTTACTTGTTTAATTGTTTTTACACATAGTTGGCTACACTTGTACTGTCACCAATGAGTCAGTTACAAATTCTGCCAGTCTCGAATGTTTACCCTTATCCTTGATTCATGAAAATACTTTACGTTATCTTATTATGCTGTTACTAATGTTTATTACATTATAGTAATTATAATTATAATAAAAATAACACCATCAATATTCATAGAACTAGTAAAAAATATGTTTTAACCTGCCAATTCAAAGAAAGGTAAAATCAGGTAAGGTCACAAGGTCAAGTTCTACTAACTGACTCCTTTGTGGCTAAGCACTAGCAGAGCCATATATCTGCAGAGACATTTCACAAAAATATAAAAAGTAAGCACAGCATTTTCCCGATTTTTTATCCATTTTTCCTGGCAGCATTGGGTTAATTTGATCTACAGTTGTATTTACAAGATTACAGTGCTTGCAGTCCTAAATGTAGATTTTGTTACAATTGTTCCATATTTATGGTGCTATCTAGGGTTGACAAACAAAGTAGTATTTTTGCATTTTGAAAGTCACAAATCCAGTTTTGTTTTTCTTGTAAGACATGCATTGATGATACCAACATCATTGTAACTAATTGACTATATAATGTAATTTACCACTTATATTTATTCAGACAGTTTTGTTTTTTTAAATTGCATCTTATATCATGAATGCAAAATAAATGAAAAATAAGTAATATAATTTTGTATGTTTACATCCTCTCTTTATTTCTGCTATCAAATCAAGTGCTGTATATCCTCTTCTGCTCTGCTGTTTTTATGGATGTACAGTGCTATTAAGGGGATGATTAACAATAATTACCCCCTAATCCCTTGCTAGAGACTAGAGCCCAATGTAGGGGATCACCCTTATATAGGACCTCAGCCCTCGACCCAACTAATCTGTCCACTTCCTAAGGTGGGAGAGCCGTGCTGAAAGGATGAGAAACTGGCTTTGTATCATTCATGAACGGCCTCTGGGAGCCATGGACACGATATGCCCTTGGTTAATTGCCTAGCTCTTACCCCTCATGGGGACCCTGAGGAGAAGGCTGTTTTTTCTCCCCATTTATTTCAGGCTCACCATGGCCAATAATGAAGATTTTTTACCCTTATTAGTGGCATTAACTCATTCGTCCCAGATTTATGTTCTGTCCCCTGTAGTTTTTGGTAAATTTTGTTACATAGAGATGGCTCCATATGTGCTCAGCTGGCAAGGAGTCTATCAGTAGCCACTAGTTACCGATCCTGATTTTCCCATTCATTGAATTGGCGGGAAAATTAATACCATTGCTATCGATACTGTTATTATTGTTATTGATGTTATGATTATTAAATTGTCATTAGAATATTTTAGACAATGAAATGATACAAAAACCCTTTTCCTAAAGTAAAGGAAAAGGGTAAACAGGTGAAATAGGTAGTTCTTGATAACTGGCTATTTGGTGATTAAGAACTTGTGGAGCCATCTATGTATAAATACAATAAACAAACGTGTATCAAAGTGGGTATGGCATCTATACTTGCCACGTGGGGTGAATGGGTTAAGGCTTGCTCCTTCATCAACTTGCAATCTAAATTTGATTTCATTGGTTTCCCAATGCTTGCCTCTCCTTTGACCAAAGCTCCAACCACTGATACTAATATCCCCTCTTCAGCATTTGCTTCCAATTCAGAATCCTCCACCCAGATCATTACTCAACCTTCAGAATACACCTCTTCCTCTCTCCCAATATCCTCTACTCCATTTCCTGCCGCGCAGACTTTTTCATTGTCTACCTCCACCCCCTTATTACTACTATTTCTCATTATTGTCATCCAACAGTACTACCTCTCTCCATACCACTCCATCTTCCTCCTGCCCTCGTCCTTATACTGTTTCTATCTCTGCAAACCTTTTGAGTACCTTTTTTGACCCAGTCAAGTGGGATTGATTCTGTGTAATTCCCTCTAGTGCCTCGTATTCTGACAATACCTTTCTCTTCCAACAATGTCTCCAAAAACAAGTAGGCAAAGTTTCCTTTCCCAATCTTATCTAACCCAACTGACCTCGCTGGCACACTTATTCCTGCCCAAAGACACTCCTCCCGTAATTGTTTCCATTTCCCCGACTGACTGTTGTGTCTATGACAAGGATTGGTCAGACTGTAAAAATTACTTGCTTGTGGACTATGATGCCTTCAATGTCCCTGACCTGGTCATGACCATTCAAACTGTACTGCTCAGTCACACATGTGTGCCAATTGTGGTGGCTCCCAAAATGTATTTTATAGGAGCTGCCCTGCCTACAAGCATGAATCTGAGGTAACAGTTCTCAGATGTCTGTGAGGCCAGACAAGAATCATTCTGGAGGGGTTATACTCTTTATACCTATTCCAAAACTGCCTCACTCCACTCCCCTCCCACCTTCTCAAGAAGTCTCAGCATCTCCCCCACTAGAGGACCCTGAACCATCCTATTTCTATTCCTTCCCTCTCTCCCAATCAAATTACTTTTATAGTTAAAATCCAGATACTCCAATCTCTACCACATCCCTTATAACTACCACTCTACCTGTCGTACAATTTAAACATTCCACCCCACCTTCTATCACATCCTCTCCTACACACATTTCTCCTTCTGCTCCTCAGGCATCTATTTCTCTTTTCCTCTATAAAAGAAATCCTTTGTTTCTCAGACCTCCCCACCCAACTCCTCTCCAATCCCTCTATTTCTGTTTGCTGTACATTCAAAGTATTAGCTGATATCCATCCTCCTCCTCCTCAAGTTCCCCCTACCCCTCTTCTTCCCACTCTCCCCAAAAACACCTAATCCTCTTCTCCATGTGCATCATCATTACTCTTCCTTCCCGAGTATCCTTACCACTCCCACCTGGATGCTCACGTGACTCCCTCATGTCACAACAATGCCATTCTCCAGATCCCTCCCCTCCTGACATTCTTCCTGATACTTGAATACTTCTCCTGTTCCCTTGTCTCATTCTCTGGATTCTTCTCCTACTTCTACAATTACCATATCTACCCATATTACCCTTTGATTGTTTCAAAATGGCTCTTTTGCAGTTTTCCTCATACAATGTAACACTCCCTTCCTCAGATACATAG